CAAAGTGCGCGGAGCTCTTGTCAGTCTGATTCGCAACTTTAATTATTTGCACACACTCTGAATTTGTAAAGTATTCAATTGTAAAACTAGAATTAGTCGTACGAGTTAAAGTAAAGTGCAAGTGAGTGCGCTAGCGTCAACTAAGGACTGCCATTTACCAAAGGGCCCAGCTGCAGAAGGAGAATCATCCGCCACGAGAGCCAGCGCCTACATATTCACCAGAGACTGTCACGAATCGTCCGTAGCTGTATGTTAAGTAATTTAAGATCCATTACCTTTGTAATTAGAATAAGTGTCGCGTGAATAAATGTATGATTGTTGTAATCAGGAGAAGGTATACGACCTTTTATTTATAACCTGCACATTCTCCCCGCCAGATTAAGATCAATATATTATTTAAAAACAAGTAGCGGCTCAACAGCCGTTACAACGTGTTGGATACAAAATTTTATGCAATAGTAAGCGAAAAATACTTTCATTGAAATGAGGCATTTTACCGCACACCAGTGTCGAAATCAGGCATTTTATCGCATACAAGTGTCCAAAACCCCTTTTTGCGCACTTGAAAAGCGTTTTCGGACACTGGTGTGCGGTAAAATTTCTGATATTTTGTGAGATATCATGCTTGTTATTTGTGCACTTTTCAAATAACCCATTCGTATAACTATTCATATCTTTTTCGTTTGCACTCGTACTAACTATGTAGTGCAATCAACTACATACAAGTGCATAAGAATTCAAAACCAAAAAAAATCAGGTTACTGGGTACCCGGTGGCAAGTTGCTTTATAATTGAAAAATTATCCCGCCAAATTTCACCACCATAAAGGAAACTTAAAAAAAACTGCATCCAAGTGCATTCGAATTCAAAACTAATAAAACCAAGCCACCGGGTACCTAGTGGCAAGTTGCTTTGTAATTAAAAATTTTTCAGCCAAATTAAATTAAATTAAAGGAAACTCGTAAAAAACTGCATATGTAAAGCATCCGAGTGTATTTCGGTTAAAAACAAAAAAAAACCTTGTGCGACCTGGTGTACCATGTCAACAAAATGTAGTTCAACACAATTTAAGCAGTCCGTACGATCCAAAAATAACAGACATTCACGAAAAAGTTTTTACAGGGGCCAGATCGGTGACTTGGTGCACCAGATCGGTTAAATGTGGCAATCAGACCTTCAGCTGACCACCCTCAACAACCCCTAAAACTGTTGACACAAAATAGGCCGAAATCAATTGAGCTGAAAAAATAAACTTATTTTATGATATTATTATATTATTATGCTGAGCGAAGCGAAGTCATTCCTGCACTAACTCCCCTGACTTTGCAATGGTTTTTTGTAGACACGGTACCATGAAAACTGCTGGATCGATCTTTTTGAAATTTTCGGAAGTTGGTAGGGGAAGTTAGACGAAGATCTGATGACAATCGTTATCTCCATTGCTCAAGCCTTTATGCACTTTTTATGCACTTTCTATGCATTTTTTCAAAATCGTCAGAATTTGATCAAATTGGACGGAATTTTTTTCGATAATGTATGATGGGTCTTGAATGTGACAGTGGTAGCATTGTTTTTTCGTTTATGCATGTGAATGCACTTTTATGCATTTTAGATGCATTTTAGATGCATTTTTCATAAATCGTCAGAATTTGGTCAAATGTCGCGGGAATTTTTCCATATGTGGTGGGCCTTAAATATGATAGTGGTTGCATTGTTTTTTCGTTTATGCATGTGAATGCACTTTTATGCATTTTAGATGCATTTTTCCGAAATCGTCAGGATTTGGTCAAATTTCGCGGGAATTTTTCCATAATATGTGGTGGGCCTTAAATATGATAGTGGTAGCATTGTTTTTTCGCTTATGCATGTGAATGCACTTTTATGCATTTTAGATGCATTTTTTCGAAATCGTCAGGATTTGGTCAAATTTCGCGGGAATTTTTCCATAATATGTGGTGGGCCTTAAATATGATAGTGGTTGCATTGTTTTTTCGTTTATGCATGTGAATGCACTTTTTATGCACTTTCTATGCATTTTTTCAAAATCGTCAGAATTTGATCAAATTGGACGGAATTTTTTTCGATAATGTATGATGGGTCTTGAATGTGACAGTGGTAGCATTGTTTTTTCGTTTGGGCATGTGAATGCACTTTTATGCATTTTAGATGCATTTTTCCGAAATCGTCAGAATTTGGTCAAATTCCGCGGGAATTTTTCCATAATATGTGGTGGGCCTTAAATATGATAGTGGTTGCATTGTTTTTTCGTTTATGCATGTGAATGCACTTTTAAGCATTTTAGATGCATTTTTTCGAAATCGTCAGAATTTGGTCAAATTTCGCGGTAATTTTTCCGTAATATGTGGTGGGCCTTAAATATGATAGTGGTTGCATTGTTGTTTCGTTTATGCATGAGAATGCAGTTTTAGTTCTGTGCTATGTAAGAAACTCATAAGAGAACGAGAAAAGGAATCGTCTCGCCGCAGTTCGTACTGATTTCGAGCAAATGCAAACAAGACAACCGAACCGATGCCCGTGTGCCTATCTCGAAACGTTTCTGTGTTAACGAGTGTACTGTGTATCTGTATGTGTACGATACGTGTAATTATGCTGAGCAAAGCGAAGTCATTCTTGCATGAACTCCCGTGATTTTGCAAGGGTTTTTTGTAGACACGGTACCATGAGTACTGCTGGATCGATCTTTTTGAAAATTTAGGAAGTTGATAAGGGAAGCTAGACAAAGATCTGATGACATTCATAATCTCGATTGCTCAACCCTTTATGCACTTTTATGCATTTTAAATGCATTTTTTCAAAATTATGGGAATTTGATCAAATTTGATGGGATTTTTTCGATTAATCTGTCGGGGACCTTAAATATGATTGTCGTTGCATTTTTTATTTGTTTGTGCATTAAAATGCACTTTTATGCACGTTATATGCATTTTTTTGAAATTATAAGAATTTGATTAAATTTGACGGAATTTTTTTTGATAATCTGTCGGGGACCTTAAATATGATTGTCGTTGCATTGTTTTTTTCGTTTATGCATTAAAATACAATTTTATGCAGTTTTAATGCAATAATTTGTTAGAATTAGATTAAATCTAATAGGAATTTTTTTATGATCCGTTTGAAAGCTTAACTATGATTCTTGTCGCAAATAAATGCACTTTTATGCAGTTTCAATGAATTTTTTCCTACAATGGCGAGAATTCTGTCAAATTCGACAGGAATTCTTTTATGATCCATTTGGTAGATGAAACATAATTTTCATCGTAATATTTTTTTATGTTTTGCATTAAAATGCAATTTTATGTAATTCGTATGAATTTATTATTATTATTATTATTATTATTATTTTTTTTTATTAATTTTAATCGGTGTTACTTGTGTATCGGTAAGTGCGTTTGTTTATAATTATATCGTGTTTTAGTGAACATTGTACTGATGACAATTATATTATAAATCGTGTTTCAGTTAACGTTGTACTAATGATAATTATACAAGTGGCAACTCGAGTTGTAGAATGCTGAGCAATTTCAATAAACTGAACATTCGTGATGAAACATCACGAAATAATATCATCACTGATGATACAAAAACATTAAATTTTTACAATTACTTTACAAAAACCCTTATTTAATCGCGCGAAGGCGAATCTCAGTTCGTGCAAATTTTAAATAATTAAAAATGCAAATCCAAGTAACCCTAAGTAACTCAATCGAACCCGCTCGTAGTTATGAAATAATTATGCAAGCAAACCAAGTAGCCTTAGTAATCCAGCTTATGCCATATTTAAGAAATCAATGTCGCAAATAAAAGTAACCCCAAGTTACCGAATCAACTCCACACCATGAGCAGTTTGCAAATAGTAATATGCAAACTTTTATAACTCAAGTAACTCAGCTCATGCGGTTTCTACAGTAACTGGTAATTCTAAAGTAACTGGTAATAAATAGTTATTTATTACATAAAATTTTACCGCACGCCAGTGTCCAAAAACGCTTAATGCGCACTAAAAAGTGTGCGCAAACTGACACTTTTCGCCATTTATTACATAAAAATTTGCGCTCAGCATACTGCAACCAGAGTTGCCGCTAGTATATTATATTATCCATAAGCATATCAATAATATAATATAATATTAATTAATTATAATTTAAATATTGTTAATTATATTATTAATTAATAATAATTAACGGAAACAATCCTGAGAATGCGTCTGAATGAAAAATCAAGGAAACAGTCCTGTCAGCAACTAGGTTGTTATATTGAGTTTAAATTTTCGATTTGCTCAGCATTCTGCAACTGGGGTTGCAACTAGTATTATTAATTTTGAGATTTGAGTTTTCCTAGTATGTGTAACATGTAAAGATCTAAGGCTATACTCTGCTTTAGGGGCCTTTTTTGCGCGTTTTTCAACATATATTAGCGGCTCCAAGGCGTAACAAATCTCAAGCTATTATAAAAATTTACAAAAGAGTATTTTACATGTTATGGAAGCTTCTAAAATAGTTTTGGAAAGGAAAGTCCAGATCATACTTGATTTAGTATTTTTTGTTTTTTCTTGGTTATATCTATTGTAGAAGCCTCGAGAGTGCACAGATCATTTTAGCACCCATTTTTTCTGAAAATTTGGACGATTTCTAACAAAAAAACTCCCATACACTTTTTCGTTTGAGTCATTTCACATTAATAGAGCTTAATCAAATAATTGCGATATTTGATAAATTACGGAAAAATGCGAAAAATGCCAACTTTGGAATTATGGAAAAGGGTGATAGATGGCCCCAATCGTTCTATAAATTTTTTTGTAAATTCCTGACATCTCAAACAATGTGTTCATCATATAAGATATAAAAAAAAAATTTGACTGGTTAAGTTAACAGAGAATCGGCCGTATGCAAACCAAGCTTTTGGAAAAGTTCGATTTCTTTCAAACAGTCTTATAATTATGTACTTATTTACATAAATATACATGAAAAGGAAATACTTACAAGATTTGTGTGACTTTTACTTGTGTAATCAAAAGAAGAAACTATCTCATTGAATTCTGCAAGAATTTCATTGTGCCTCGCCATATCTGTTGCAAGAATGCATCTTATAATTCCTTCGCGAATAATTTTATAATTATCTGAATCAAATGATGAAAATATGTTGCATTCCTTTTTTTCCATTAAATAAAATGCTACTGAGCAATGATGATTTTCAAGTGGAGAAATATCATTATAACGTAATGCTAATTCAGTGTGAGCGTTAATTTGATAGATATTGTTGTAACCTGGATGATCAAGATCGTGGCAGATGCATGAAACCATTAAAATCAAAACTTCTAGTTCTCCTAATTTTGATATGAGGTCTACTGCCCATATAATTACATACATCTAAGAATTGAAAAAAAAGAGGTATATTAAATTTTTGAGTAACAAAATATGTGACAATTTTTAAGATTTACTTGAAAAAATTACAAAATATCATCCATTCATTCTATAATACGTGCCAAGAGATGAAAATCAATCTTCCCACAGAGTTTTACTTTATTCAATGTGTCTATTATTTTTTTTCATCTCTATTCGATTAAAAAATGTTTTAATTTGAAAAGATTAAGGGAGCATTTTACAACTTTTCGAAAACTTATCAAAAATTATTGTTTACTTCTAAAACAAGTCTCAACACTCAAACTCTGAGCAGCTTCTGTAAAAAAGCAGCAATAAGTTTGAAAAATTGATTGTCCAGCTCAAGTCAAAAATAGATTCTATACTGAACATGATCATCACGCTTATAATTTAGTTTAATAAAGGTATAAATAAAGGTATAAATAGAGATATAAATAAAGGTATAAATAAAGGTATAAATAAAATAGTCGAAATACTATACGATGAAATTAAATGTTAATCACGTCCGCTGGATAATGACCATTTCGGGGATATCGGATGTTATCTATTTGTTAAATTAATGTTGGATGGAACAGAATGTGTGGAAGTTAACATCTGATAATGCTTAGTTCACTATCGCACGAGACAATAAATAAGAAAGTTAAATAAACGAGTTACGCAGGAAATAGACAAGATTTTGTAAATATGTGTAAGTAACAAGTTTAGGTTATGATAAAGAGTGATAAAAATTGTACAACCATTAGCAATTAGTATCGTTCCTAACCATGAGTAAGATAATTAAGTTATACGTGGGATGGATTTTGAGATATATAAGTAGGGCTCGCGAAAGCCTCTGTGCAATTAGTCTATCATCTTATTCGGTGTGCGGAGATCATGTCACTTTATAGTTTCCGTTATACGGTCTTGTGTTCAATTGTGCCATGAGTTTAAAGCAAAGTGTAATTTGTTATCGAAGCTAGTGCAGACATGCAGGACATGCAGGAGACATGCAGGAGCCAGTCAGGCCAGTTACCGTGTGAGCCACGAATATTTAACGAGTCGAGCCAGCTGAATAAATTTTAATTTTGTGTATGTACGCAGTAATAACTCCTACCAAGTACTCTCATTCAACCTATCATTCCTCAGTCTCACAAGTCAAATTAAAACCAATCAATTATTTATTATAATATACACAATATGCGTCATTCAAGGAAATATTAGCATTTAAGTCTGTATCTGGAACAAAAATAGAGTCGGAAATAATCACCTTACACTTGTCTGACCTACAACTCTTCCTAATAGATGAGGGCATTGATGTTATGTTATTATCAAAAACTCACTTTGCAAACAAAATTTTTTTGGTATAGCAAATAACCAGATACATATAAGAAACTATCCAAAAGACAAAGCTCATGATGGAACGGCAATAACTCCATAGAACTTCACCTACTGAACCGAGTCTCGACTGACTTCTTTCAAGCATCGAACAATGAGATTTCATCGGATACCGGGCCAACAACATTATCGTCAGTTTACTGATCACCCAAATTTATCATAATTGTGACGGTAAACTCCCCGTGTTCACCGTCTGCGCGGGCTTCTCAAGTCCTGGCCGGCTTTGCCGATGAACGACGGGCCAGACAAGCGGATGCTCGTCGCCGATCTGTGTCCAGATAGCTAGAAGGGATTAAATTAGAGCAAGAAATTATCTCGCGGTCGTAGGCATGGCTCTCCTTACCGAGGAGACGCTGACGGGTAGGGAGCGGGGACTCCGTTGACTGCAGCACTGCACCTGAAATAACCACCTGTAAACGAGAGAATCTGCGAGAAAGAGAGAGGAAAATAATATATGAAAGGGTAATCGAATAGATACACAAAGAATTAAAGGTGAAATGATACAAATGCTTTATTGAATCGACTCTGAATTACTCACTCGCTCTGAGCCGAAGCTCGCACACACACATTTACACTTGGTCGCATACGCGAGCTACGTTGCCGTCTGAGAGTCGTCATGGGGCAATATGAAGACAGTACAGCTACTCACGTTACTCCTCGTACACGAGGCTCACGACCACACGGGTAGACACCACACTGCCGGGGTCACACAAAGCCGAGCTGCTCTCCTCGCGTTTCGTCTGTTGGCCACAGACGTGAAAAGGAACGAGCTGGAGTGGTTGTACCGATGTCGTACTCAATGAGGGCTTGGTGCGCCTCGTGAATCGCCGGCACGAACACTTGATTCTCGTGGCCACCAAATTCACCAACACTCGGATACACACCTTTCACCAGATCACTGCAAAATCACACCTCAACACTCAAACTTTACTCTCCACACAAACTTGCTCTCTACACACAATACAAAAGATAGTCGCGGCGGTCGCGTACGATGAGCTCTGCTCAAGATGAAGGTCCAACTACAAGTGTCGTGTCTCGTCTGCTAATTCGCACACGTGAGTTGCTATGATTTTCGGCGTACGTGCCGCGTCTCTCTTGTATACGCGTTGGAGCCGGCGTCGCTACGCGGGCTATACGGACGTAAATATTGCAATGTTAACGTCCGTGTGCGCCACAACGGCCTAGCAAGCCGGGCTCCGTTGTCGCCTCTCGCGCCTCGTGTACTTCTAAAGAACACCACGTGGTCATTTTGAATTTATTTTTAACTCATGGTCAGCTCCTCGCAGCCGTCGCGACGACGTTTGCAGCAGCACAACGTCACATAATAAACTCCCAATTTTTCACATTAAGTAACCATTTTATGGCTGGTGGGGACTACAACCCAAAGCATCTTTGGTAGGGATCGCGGTCAAGTACTCCAAATCAAAGAGGCAAACAGCGATATATTAGACTAATTCTCATTTCCCTAAGTTGTGCCGATCTTCAATTCAGACGTGGATTTTGGTTCTTAGGATGTAAAAACTGAAAAATTTAATCGTTGGGTCCAAAAGATAGTTGCGAGCATGTGCCACAACTTAAAAACCCGAAATAAATTTTCGAAAAAGTGCTTGAAAAAATCTGAAAAAATTTATACATGTTCTTTGACTTATTTTACGACTATTTAGATCTTTATGTTTATTTGTTTAAAGTCTTTTATCTCGAGATAAAAAATTGAAAAGTTTAAAAACACGATGATGAGAAAAAAATAAAAAACATTTTTTTTAAAAATTCAAGTAATAAAAAACCGTTTTTTATATTTTCGATTTTCTGCAAGATCCTCTCTTGACTTGACTCCAGATCACTCGCTAGTGCTTTTTGACTTTAACCTCTAAGCATATGGTAACATTCAAATCTTCCGAAAAACAGACTGGAATATTTTTAATCAGCAAATCGAAAATGAAATAAACGAAACATATCTTGAAAGACCACTGATGATTTAGACGCACCCATAGAAAACTTAACAGATCTCATTATTAAATCTGCAGAAATATCAAATACTAAACGTTTCACAGAACCTGTTTCAAATTGCATAAGAAGGATGTATTTATCAACAAACAGGTCAATAAGTAAAAAAAAAAGAAACTGTACTTTTAGCAAAGCAACAGAATATAGTAAGTTTTTATAAAATTGAAAATTCAATGCTTTTTTTAAGCATTTAGTACGTTGATTTTATGATGTACTTACCATTTGAGCGACGCAAAAGCAATGTCTAAAATTGTGGAATGGAACATCATTGTAACTGTCGTAAACTTTGATTAAAAATGAATGTAATTTTGTAATATTTATCTTGAATTTATTCATTAAACCGAGCTCAGTAAACATTACTTTTAAGAATAAAAGTAGGTCTTGATCTTGCCACTGTCGAGCATCAAATTTAGGCGATTTCAGTCCCTCTCGCAATTTTCGAGATACACTTCGGTTGCTGAAAAAAAAAACAAAAAATAATAATAAATTCATAAAATTGATTTTTCTGTAATAATTTTTTTATTTTTGCTGGAGAAATAAACTCAATGCCTTGAAAGTCATGGAAAGATTATTATTGCAATTGGTATAAACAAGTCAATATGATAATTGAATTTTTTTCCCGATCCGATATCTTAATATTTAACAAAATAATATTTACAATATACTTTAATGCCTTCAGTTCTAAAACTAATTGCACCTCCAGTTGTAGAAAGCTCATCAAATCCAATAAACCAATCGTAATGATACTAAATGTACAAAAGTTTATATTTATAAGAATTTATAAGTTATATTCTTAATACCTTTAATAGAATTTGTAAAGTTCACGATCTTAATATGGCTAATTTTTCAAATAACTAATCAGATTTGTTATTTTCGCATGCAACTTGACCGTATTATTTGTTACGCTTATTATTTTTTAAATGACGCAAAAGTTTTTTATTTACCAAATAACCAAAAAGATTAGTTATTGAACTTAACATAATATTTAAGCATTTTTCAAGAAATAATAAAAGATAATATAAAAAGGCTCAAAAATGAAAGAAGAGGTCTCTGTTGTTTCTCAAATTTTGCAAGGTGCGTTTCGCATTTCCTTTATGTAATTTTCAACATTTGTAATATTCTTTGAAAATACATCCTTGAAATTTCCTTGGAACTTGCGGTGCATGAGCAAACTATATCGCCGCCGCTTATGAGTTAAAACTTACCTAACGAAATACTGTGAGAAAAAAACACATCTCATTGAATGCCATGAAGAAAAACACATCTTATTCAAACACTGTGAAAAAAACACACCTCTTTCAAAAACCCAAGATATTTTCGTCATTGATTCGTTAAATCGTGATTCGATGAGATGAGTTTTTATTTACGGCATTTCGATGAGGTGTGTTTTTTTTCGGACATTTTATAAAAAAGTTTTTTTTTCATAGAGCTTTTTACTCATAAGCAGTGGTGATATATATTAAAATATCAAATTAAATCGCGTGAGTGAGTGTGAATGGCTCAGAGTGCCTGCGAGCCCTCGATAAATCTGTCATTGTGTGATAACTGCTGTAACCATCATCCATAAAATGTCGTAGCTGCACGTCTCATCACACGAGTACTGCGTACTAAGTTAATTGGTCGTGCCCCTTATGAAGATGTTAGGTTGAGTGTGAGGTTTATTTCCCTGGTGTAGGCTGACTCGTCCGTTACTTGACTCCAAATTCCAAAGTCCAACGCTCCATACCTCGTCGGCGCTAGGGCATGTTACTACAAAGGACTCACGTTCGGACAGGTGAGAGAATGGAAAATAAACTCGCGATTAACAACGAGAATGATTAAAGTTTATTCCGCTGGGCTGACCTATTCACTACTGACTACAAACGACTCTCTCTGACTATATCTCACCAATAGCGGACACTCTAAAAACCTGAAAAAGTGTCCTCTATTGAGAAGAATATTGAATTATTAATAATTTTTTTTTCAATTTTTTTGCATCGAAATGATCAAGTCAATATTTATTTTCATTGTTTTAATTTAAAAAATCTGTAATATTTGTTTGGTGACATGTTGTTTCTGTTTGTAAATAACTCGACGAGTCGGACTTGGGTGTTGCGTAAAATCAAATCTCGTACTCGTGATGAGATTCTTAATAATGAATCGAACTTTATTGAAACTAATAAAAAAAATAAGTATGTGCCTACGTCTAGTTGGGCTCCACAGCGGTGAGCCGAGACTAAGACGAGAGCTTGCGAGGGCGACTCTGAGCAGAGGTAATAAATGCTAATTAGCTGTGAGTTCGCTAATAACTGACTTAATATGAACAAAAGCAACGACACGTAAGCCAAAGAAATCGGTAGTCGCCCCACCAAGCTCTCCCCTCACTCTCGCCTCATGTTCTCAACCGTTACACGTGAACACATGTTCTCTTTGTGAATATATCTTCTAACAATGAATCTATTTTTATGCCCGTTTCAACTCCTTCTGCACACCCCGCCTTCAGGAAAAATGTCTCAGAATTTCTGCGTGGTGAAATGCATCTTTTAAGCATATATTTTTTATTTGAGGCTCTTCAACTTCGTTATGGTCAATTAAAGAAATATCGTCATTTTCTTCGCTTACTGCACTCAAAACAATATCACGTATATTGATCGATTCGTCTGCAGTTTTAAAATTTGAATTTACTGTCAAAAAATTTTCTGCTTGTACGTCATGTGGCCGTAAAAGTTCTTTGAATTCTTCTAGCTCTGCGAGCTCAGGTTCAACAAAATAATCATCTGTATCATCATCTTGGCTTATAAACCCACATATAACAGAACAATTACTCACTGTCTCTTTTTTAATATCATTCACAGATGCAATTATCCATTGTATTGCATCTAGAATTGTGATTTTGGCGTTTGCAACTTTATCAGAATCATAATTGGAATCATTATCAATTAATTTTAGGAGATGTTTTAATAATCGACGTCTATAATTGACTTTAAAATTTTTTATGATGCCTTGGTCAAGCGGTTGAGACTCTCGCTAAATCAAATTTTCTAGCTTCATCCTTAATCCATCCATAAACAATGTTTTGACACATCATAAATTTTGGGTACGAAACAACACAAAACTAAGAAAAAGAAAAAAATCATAAACACCAAATTTCAGTTTCAAAACGTAACTTTTCAAACTTAGGGTGAATCTTTACGCTTTTTATCTTGAATCAAAGGTTAAAAGCTCTGCCTTTAAAAAAGTATTACTTTTATTCAAAAAAACCAGTTTGTTTTAGAACAAATATGACAAAATTAAAAAAAACATGAAAAAAAAATTTTTTTCTCGAAAATCCCTCATAACTTTTTAAATACTTAACGTAGAACTAAAAATGATGTGTTGGCTTCTTCCTTACATCAAAACGAATAAAATGAGACATCTACAGTAACGATACGAACTACCGTCATCGAGATATCACTCTGCACAGACATACACACGTACATACACACACACACACACACACACACACACACACACAC